AAACATAACTATTCAGTATTACCTTAAGTTAATTAAATTAAATTCATTAATTTTAGTAGAATTCCCCAAAACAATATATAAAGGGTTTTTAAAATTTTATCTTTATACAGGTATTTACCAATAGATACAGTCAATGAAGTGAGACATGAGAGGATAAAAATATATATATATTATATATGTATATATATGCATATATATATATATGACTCATGAAATACCACCAGCTAGAAAGAATGCTAACACTTTGTTATATATACATCTAATCTTTTCTCTGTGCAAACTTGGATAGATAGATAGATTAGATAGATAGATAGATAGATAGATAGATAGATAGATAGATAGATAGATGATAGATAGAAGTTAGCTTCCTTAATGTGGCATACTGCTCTGTGTTCTGCCTTCCACAACATGACATTTACAGACTGCATACTATAACCTTGCATGAATGTTCCATAATTTAAACCCAATTCTTTTTCTTTTCTTTTTTTTTTTTTTGGCTATTTAGAGGACCAACATAATTAAAAATCTTTTTTCATACTGAAGGAGTTACCAGTAATCTGGATCGGGATGGGACTCAGAGCTTACACTTTCTGGGACACTTAGGTTCTTGGCTACTCTTTTCTCCTAGGAACGCTCCATGTTTCTGGAGGCAAGACTGTCGGCGCCCTGGAGTCCTCGGGGCCACCCAGCCAGCCCCTGCCTGCCAGCACCTCGGCTATACACATAAGCCTGCTCGACATGAGGCGGAGTGTGGCCGAACTCAGGCTCCAGCTCCAGCAGATGCGACAGCTCCAGGTACCCACCGAGTTCCGTGTGGACGATGTCCTTTGTCTTAGCTCCCCAGAGTCTGCTTTCTCCCCCCTGTTCACCTCCGCCAACATCCCTAGCCCCTCAGCACCTTCCTGGGGTTCTGTCTACCCTTCGTTCCTAAGGGAAAACTGAAGACCTAAAGAGGAGCCCCATAAAGGCATGGTTTCCTCTCTCACGTACATAAAATTGGTCTAGAGCCTTCCACCACAACTTGAGTCGATCTGTAACCACTTCTTGAAGCTAGGCATGCTTTTACAAATGAAAAAACCATTACACATCTGTTTTTTTGGAGGAGAGCTGGAAAGGGAGGAGCCTGTGGAGCATTCCAGTAGCCGGTTAAGACTTCCTGCTTACAAGTGTTTTGGCTCCTTGTCCTCCTCAGTGAGTGTGCGTGAAGGTGTGACAGGCAGCTATGCTGTTTTTGCAAGGAACTATGATGTATTTAGAAATAGGAGTTTAGACTAGAAGATGAATTCATAAGGAAAAGAAGCCATCGTGGAAGATTTGTTGAGAAACACATCTGCATTTTATCTGGAGAGTGTGTTGCATAATATTTTCCTTGCTTTTTCCATTGTTGGGGAATATATGAACTGCATGGGAATCAAAAGGGAGGTTTTGAAAATGACCTTTTGTGTCACCAGTCTTGGTGAATCCATCCCATCAGTCTGATGAAGCAGAAAAATGGATCACGTGGTTCTGGGTATAAGGAGCTGGGGCTATGCATTTCTTTATGAGATCGCTTTATGAGACCTTTATGAGATGCTTCCTGTGTCAGCCTCATGCCCCCTACCTTTGGGGCAGGTTGACCATCAAGGATGTAGTGCTGGCCTAGTCTATACCTGGGCATCTTCCTGACTTCAGGAAGCTCATCATCTAAACAGCATGGCGTCCTCGGCTCCCTTACGGGAACTGGTAAGGGAGGTGCAGCATGGAAAGGGCTTCCTGCCACAGTTTCTCTCTCCCTTCCGCTCACTCATGGCCTGAGCCCTACATTTTTCACCACCTAATGAAAGCTAAGATGGTGATTTCCTCTTGCCCTCTACGTACCAGAGAACAAACAGAAAGGCAGCAGCTTGAGGGCCCTGCCCTGGGGCCCAACCATGGATTGTGAGGGTCGTCAGAACACACCACACTGCACAGGGCTCAGGTCCGCAAAGGCTACTGTCTCCCAGGCCACGTCCCAGCTACTTTAGACATCCCATGCAAAGCCATTTCAGTGCTCTTCTGAATCGCGTCATCTCTGACGTTCCCCATCCTTAGCCATTTGCTTCTCCCGGCTTTGCATTTTCAAAGATCCTCTGCAGTGAAGGGAAGCGTACAGATCGGGCTGAGGGTGTGCGCCAGGGTGACAAAGTCCAATGCCCACAGTGTCCAGGCAGCAACTTAACAAGTGAAGGAGGGACAATGGCAGGTTGGCCTTTCTCAAGGACAGTCACCGGTTGGCTCCAGCCAGTTCACAACCCGACAGCATTGGAGCTCAGGGTTTTTCTGGACATAGAGGTTTTATATGAAATTTTTGTATTCTTTCTAAGAAATGTTGGGAAGTAATTTAAAAACCAATGATTTAGTACCCTGCAGGTCAAACGACAAATGTGCTGGCCAGAATGGGTCTGCCGGGTCCCAGGTTCTTCCCTGGGATTTTTGGAGGGTAAGCCCCTTCTCACGCTGCTCCTGCCCATTAGTGCCACCTGCTGGCCATTTGGAAATCATCGCTCCTCACTGGACCCTCGTGAGAAAAAGGATTCCTAAATCTCCTTTGTGCTTTCCAAAGTGAGCAGGTGTTGGTATGGGGGGGAGAGGTGGAATTGATTTAGCCTAAGTACCAGGCTTCCTTTGAAGTGTGGCACATTCGATACGGAGGCTGATGTGTGTGGCCGTAGCAGCACCCTGGCATTTGGTTTTCTGGCCGGCGAGGGGGTCGGGGAGGTTCCCCACAACCCACCACCCTGGGCAAACCTTGAACTGTGGTGGCTCGGTTTCAGAATCATCGCTCCTCAAGCAGTGCGGGTCCTTCGGTCAAGGTCTGAGAATGCTATCTTAACCACACAGGTTCCTTTATTGCCCCAGGATTGCTCAGCCTCTCGCACTCTGGGGGTATAAAGAACAAAGCCAATGTGCTCTTGAGCTTTGAAGTTCATGCAGTTCTAAAAGAGCAGAGGCATAGGGAAAGCTTAAACACTTTGTTTCCCAACTGGTGGTTGCTGTTTCTACCTTGGTCTTTGTATTTTCTGTGTCCCCATCAGCTTTCACGTCTGGCAGTCCTCTGTCTTTTCAGTCAGGGGAGTCTATCTATTTAAGACAAAAACAGTGTGGAATAATTAAGCCATCTCAGCACCAGTTCTCCTTCGGCATATGTGTTATACACTGAAAAAGAAGTGCAACTCCAAAGTGATTATAAGTCCAATAATGGAACTATCATTAGAGATATACAAAACTTCGTGGAAGAGTCTCCAAAGAACAAAAACTGAATTAGAAATTCAAATGTTCTTTGAACTGTGTTATAAAATAGTGAAACTGAATGAAATCTTTTGTGCTTGGCAGCCAGCTCCAGTAATTAGATAATTAAATCACTGGAAAATCCTAGACTGTAGAGCATATCCTATTTGAACATTTTATTTTCAGAATTGATGGATTATTCTCAGGAATAGAAATTTGATGAGGACACAGTGGGATTGGTAGTTTATAGGGCAAAAAGAATGTCAAGGGAGGCAAAAGGAGCCTAAGCAGAAGATGAAGACCACTAAAACTCTCTTCATGTAATTCCCTGCTCTCCAATTTCATATGAATTATTGGTCTAAGAGAATGGTACTCAATCTTGGCTACCTATTAGAATCACCTGAGGCCTTTAACAAAAATATTGGTACCTGAGCACCACTGCTAGAGTTTAACTTCACTGTTGTGAACCAGAGGCCAGGCACTGGTGATTCTAGAATGTTCTGGGATAAGAACTGTTGCTCGTGGGTATTATGAATGCTCAGTCCTTTGAGATGCCTCTTAGAAATATTGAGATCTCAGCTATCACAAGGGTGAAGCAGAAACAGATGGGGTACCCACCACCCTGTAAGCATGAAAGACACACCTGATGACATCAAAACCCTGACTTCAAATGATGGACCCCATTCCCAGTGGCTAAGAGAATGTGTTCTCTCCTTAGTTATAATAGATACAAGAGCTATATAGAACTTCCATATTGTCATGTTCCCATTCTAAGGTAAAAGTTGGGTCAGCACTTAGCTGGCAACAATGGACAAGGGACAGGTGAAGGTCTTGTACCTAATAATTGTTTCTTTCAAAAGATGATTATCTTTATCCATTACCTTTTCTTGTGTGATTTAGAAAAAGCTTACTTTTCCTAAATGATGAGCTACATCTTTTTTTTCCAAAATGCCACAGTACTTGGATTTTCCCAAAGTAATTCCATATCCACCAAAGTGATTGCAGTTCTGTCCCTCATGTGGGCTGAGGGGAGAGATAAGCTTCTAGAAGATGTGATAGAAGTTCTGTGAGGGCCAGATGAGACTTGGCCTAAAGAGAGAATGGATATATCCTACTTCTCTAATTCCCACAGTTTTTTTTTTCCCTTGGTTCCTATTTCCTTATTCTGCCTCCTGATAAATAAAAAAAAAAAGGGGGGGGTTATTCTGGACTTAGCGTTCTATTTTTAAGACTACTGAGAATTTACTATGCTTTCCTAAGAGAGGAAGGAGGTAAAATATCAACATAAAAAAGAAACATAACAGTACACGGAGACCTCGTATTTGAAATGATATGATTCAATACAGTTATCCTAAGGTGTCTTTTTAAATAAGATAGTGCCTCATAAAAATGTGCCAGAGTCTCATTTATCTTCTGACATCCAAAAAAGATGATCATGGGACTGTGTATCCCTGAGAAAAGCACGCTAGGGTTTGGCCTGTGCTGACCAGATCTATTTTTGCCTACTGGGCAGAAATAATTAATGGGACTAATTCAGTGCCATACAATTCACCAAGCCCTAGATAGACCTTCACACAGAGGCTGTCTAAGATGGGGAGTCATCTCTCAGATAACATGTGGTTGTGACCAAGTATCTTATACATTGTTCCCTGCAGCCCAGGAAACTTAACCAGGTAGTCAGGAGTCATTCTGGGGTCTGGCTATCATCATGAAACTTCCTGATTTATGGTACAACTACTGTTCAGTGTCACTGCTGGACAGAAGATCAGTCCCACTATATGACACTGTTATAGTCTTAGGTTTTACCTAAGAAATCTTAGGTTTTACCTAAGAAATCAGGATTTAGTATGTGAGGTACATGTCCATTTTGAGGTGGGTGGAATTAGTTTTAGGTAGTTTCCTAGTCTCTGGACATTGATAGGGATAAGTTATTTAATTAAATATTTATATGGCCAAGAACATTGTTCCTGAGTATTTTTATAAAAATGTCAAGGCATAGCATTTATAATAAATTAATGTTTCCTGAATGAGAGGGTAACTGTAACTATACTTAGCTTCCCACTGTTGACAACTAGAAAACTGAAAAATAAATATATATATTAAATAACTATTTCCAGGCATTGGATAACAGACAACACAGGATTGTAATCCTTGGGAGACTAGAAGCAAAGAAAGTGAAACCTACACTTGACTCAGCTTTCTGCCTGGGGGCACTTTCGGATCATGATGTAGAAAGGAATGACCAGGCAGAGCACTGACAGCCTAATTGAGAAGACAAGATCAAACTTTAGAGAGCTGAAACAGCTAGAATTTGTGGAATAGAATACCAAATAAGAGGAAGCTCTGCAGAGAAAAGACTATATAAATCTGTGGTCTGTCATTGGATAATAAGCGTGTGTAGTGAGAAAGACCACCGAGCCAGGCAAAAACAGAGTGGGAGGCTCTAAGCTAAAAAATCCCCAGAGCTCACACAGGGCTGGAAGATGTTCATACTTTGACAGGCAAGAGTCAAGAGGCTTCACTGGTCACCTGGGGCATTTAATAGAGAT